TGCCTGCGCGTGTTTTTTTTCTGCCCATCCCAACCCTGTCTCTTATACACATCTAGATGTGTATAAGAGACAGGAGAGAGAGAGAGAGAGTGTATGTGTGTATGTGTATATGTGTGCATGTATTTTTAGATGTATGGATGTATAGATGGATAAGAGGGTAATATCCTTCAATTGTGTGTGCGACGGGGTGGGGATTGTGGATTTAAGAAAGAAGAGGGGAAAAAAAGAAGAATTGTCGACTTCAGAATGCGAGTTCTGGACGTGAAGTACAGTTAAAATTTTTATGTTTTTTTTTTTTCATTTGTTCGTAGCAACTTCTTACGTACCGCCAATTTATAAATGAAAAAGAAATGAGAAAGGGAAAGAAAAAAACACAAAAATCAACATACTTGCGCGTTATTTTTCTCTCTCCTTGTCCCCACCTCGCGTGCGCTCTCCGGCGGTCGCTCCCCGGCCCCCTGGACGGTTGCCCCCCGCCCTCCGACGGTCGCTAAGTCGTCGCTACTCCCCCGACGGCCCCCCCCGACGTTCCCCGACTCTCACTCCCCCGACGGCAGCAGCGCAACTGCGCTTCTTCCCAGACGGCCACCCCCTCCTCGTTTTACAAGGGAAGAAGCGCAGTTACGCTGCCGCAGTCCCATCTTTGTCGAGAGCTGTGCGTGCGGCCCACGGTCCCTCAGATTAAAAAGAAGGAAAAAACAAAAAACAAAAAGGTTCACCTTAGCTTGTTTCTATATGGCTCCCGCCCATCGATGTGGGTTGACGTGCGCGGGCAGGTTGTACGGAAGGGGGTGAGGGGTAGAAGAGCGGGAGGACTTCCGCGGGCTCAGTTTTTGCCCTGAAGGAAATTGGGCCTTTTGGGCAAAAACTGAGCCCGCGGATTTCCTTCAGGGCACCAGCTTGCGCCGGTTCATTTGTACACACACACATAAATGTTTATATATAGATGGGTGGAGGCAGCCGCCGCTCAACCTACATCCACGTGGGCGGCGTTGTACGCAAGAGGTTCTGAACAGGGGGAGTTATGAGGAAGAAGATAAAAAATTGAATTCATTTTTTCTTGTTTTTCTTTCTTTTTTCCTTTTTGTTCTTTTTGTTCGCATTTGCGCTCTGATACTCTTGTGACAATAGATAGATAGATAGATAGATAGAGAGAGAGAGAGAGAGAGAGAGAGAGAGAGAGAGAGAGAGAGAGAGAGAGAGAGAGAGAGAGAGAGAGGGGGG